GTAAATACACACAGGTCCTGGGCCACACCAGTCTTTCTCTTTGGGGAAAAATGTGCCAGTGTGGAAATGAAAGGATATTTTTTTTTCTTTTTTGATGTGGGGAGTCACAGCCAGTCAACGTCTCTGCCCTCTCGTTTCTTCTTCCGACAATCCACACATCCCCCTGGCTCTGTGCAGCTCCCCCCGCTCCCCCCATTGCCCGGTCTCCTAGCATTCTTGATATCGCCCTGGGGTCAGGGCAGCTACCTGAACAAAAGAAGAGGGCGACTCGGTGTCTTTGGGTTGGTTTCTCAGGAGAGGCAAGGATTAGAAACCTCAGGAAATGTCAAACATGAATACCTGGCAATTTCCTGAGCAGCTGATGACTCTCTGACTTAAAGCAATTCATTAGGTGGGGCTGGAATATTTTTAAAGAGTTTTGATATGGAGAATTTTTAGCACCACATTTCCAACAGGCTTCAGCTGGGGAGGAGGAGACGGTGGCGAAGCCACTCTCTGCATAGGTAGAATATATATGTAGGATAGAGAGAGCACTTTTCCTTGGAGACCCCCAACATTTATCTATCTCTGCCCCCTTATCGGCTTGGGGGACATGAGAGGGCATGTGGGCATTGTTGATGGACAGGTAAACAAGAGGTTCTGAGAAATGATGGCAGGTTTCCAAGTCAGTGGCGGCCCAGGGGACAGGGATCACTCATCTCCTACTGAGAATCCTTTCCTATAACCAGAAATAAGCAAGGCAGAATTTGATAGGCCACAAAATCACCCTAAGCTGGAAATCCCTCTTCCCCCACATGCTCAGTGTGTGACGTTGGGCAAATTACCTAAAATGCCAGGTCTCGGGTTCCTCATCTGGGAAGTAGAAAACTTGCTATCCCACTGCTAAGAATCCTTCCCACCATGGTAGATTCCTTCTCCTCATCCCCGACTGAACTCAAACTTCCTGTTCTAAACATGGTTCCCCCATCAACTTCTCTCCTCCTTTGACTTTCCTCTTTATGGTATCACTCTCGGAAATTCTCTTGTGCACTTATTTTTGTGACAGCTTATTTACTTAGATCTATCTCCCCATGACAAAAGGCAACTTGTCCGCTGTGCTATGCGTCTTCAGCACCTCGGACAACACCTACCACAGTCAATGCCCAATTAATATTTGAGTGAAGGGACATCACTCAATAGCTCATTCAGTGGGCACCTAACCACAGGTTGGGAGCTGTTCTAACCACATGACAAAAATTATCTCCTTTGATTTTTTTTTTCATCTGAAACCTTATGAAGTGGGGAGTCTCGTTAGCCCCATTTTATAAATAAGGAAACTGAGGCACAGAGATGTTAAATAAACTTGCCCACAAAGAGCCAGTCAGTAGGAGGGCCAGGAGCGAACCTCACACGGTCCCACCCCAGACCCCACACTTCTGGGGCACGACGGGGGCTTCACACCTGATTTTACAGCTGGGTTTCCAGGAAGCTCCAACGGTATTCGATCAGGTCAGAGCAAGCAGGACCTGGCAGCCAGACCTTGAACCCAGACCCTCCTCCGAAGCCTCTGCCCTTCACTCTGAACTGCTCACTCGCAGCTCTGATCTTGAATCCTCAGCCGCCCGCATGCAACCCCTGCGCTCTCTGACTGGACACCATGAATGTCCCACTACTAGCCTGTGTCCACCTTAACCCTGTGCACAGATCCTTACCCACAAGAGAGACGCTTAATACTTTTTGAAAGAATTTCTGGATGAATAAAACATCTTGAAATGCTTTTCAACAGAACACAGCAAGGCTGTTTAATAAAAGAGAGCTATTAAATGCAAAAATGCTTATAGAGCAAGCAGGAATCAATATCAGTGTCCCCGGCCTTAATAAACCCAACGCTTCCTGCTCCCCCCACCTCGGGCCTTTGCATGCTGTTTCTTAGCTTGAACCCCCTGGTGTTCCCAGCTTTTCACCCATTTACCTCTTACTTGTCCCCAATCTCAGCTCGAACATCAATCCCTCAGCAAAACCTTTTCTGACACTGCTCCCCGACATTCCTTCCTGGCACTTACTCTAGATCCACGTTGTGCATATCCTTCTATGACTCATCTGTTGATGTCTCTCTCCCCTGGTGGACTCTAAGTCCATGAAGGCCGGGCGGACGACGTCTGTTCTGTTCACCCTCTCTTCCCAGGGCTCAGCTCAGAGCAGACACAGACACATTGCTGAATGCAAAAATCAATGCTTGGACTGTCAGGGTACCAATATAAACTACTTTACCTCCATGGGCCTCTATCTGCAGTAGTGACTTGAAGTAGCACACACTCACGCTTTTCCTCCGGTGGGTACAGGGTGACAAACCCAACAGAGGGCACGGGGCCTGTGTGGATAAATATCCATACTGAACACAGCTTGGAACAGGTGTATAGGTCCTGGGTTTGAATCCTGGCTTATGAATAGCACCAGTCCCTTGACTCCTCACCACTTCAAAATGTCATTTCAAATTGCTTCAGATAAGAGCAAGAACAACACAGGCTTCAAAAAGGAAAAGGAACTGAGGAGGCCAACTACTGGGTGGTACAGAGCAGATGGGATGCTCAGACGCTGGTGTCAAGAGTGTCAATTAGCCAAGTAGTTTTACCGCTCATTCTTTTGGGGGTGGGTACCAGGGATTGAACTCAGGGGCACATGACCATTGAGCCCCATCCCCAGCCCTATTTTGTATTTTATTTAGAGACAGGGTCTCACTGAGTTGCCTAGCGCCTCACTGTTGCTGAGGCCGGCTTTTAACTCGCGATCCTCCTGCCTCAGCCTCCCGAGCTGCTGGGGTTCCAGGTACAGTGGTACAGTTCATTCTTAATTAATATCTACTAAAGATGAAGATGTGCACACTCAGAAACATAACACACTTCTGGGTATACGCTACCCAGAGAGCTCTCATATAAAATCACTTCTATGAAGAGTCATATTCATAACTACAGTGGTTCATAATAGCAAAACCCTGGATCCAACTTAGTGTCATAGATATATATATTATAATAAATATGTATTTGATGTAATAAATATATCTGCTATAGTAAGTTTATATTTATTTGCATTTTATATACTTGAGAAAATAAACTGGATGTAATATATTTTATATAATTTATATAGTCGATATAATAAATTATAAATAATTCGTATTCATGAATAAATCGCAATGAGTTCATACAGTGAACCTCTGTATAATTGTTACAACAAGCAAACTCAGCATAACGAGGCTCAGAGACACGCTGGGGAACGGAAGACGCTGTGTGTGTGGCATGGCAGAGGAGAGGGTGAGGGAGAGACCCAGTTGGCCAGGGTGGCCCTCCACCATCACACAGTGCCCGCAGCCCGCAGCCCACAGCCCGCAGGGAGAGAAAGAGGGAAGGAGGGAAGAACGGGAATGGACCATTTCAAGGACCCTCAACTGTACCTAGAGCATCATCCCTTTATATTAAAGAGCTGATGCAAATATAGCAGAATGTTCAAGTTTGTTTAAGCCAAGTGATGAGCACAGTGCAGCGGGTGGGTGCGTTGATCGTAAGATATCTTCATGTGAGCAAGACCGTGGAATAGTTAAGTGGATCCCCAGAGAGAGGCCGGGTCCTAGCTTTGCCACCAGGCCTCATGCAGAGGATGTGGGCGCTCCAAGATCCTTGTCTGCAAAACAGGATTAACCGTGTTTCAATTCCAGGGCTGTCGGTGGGAATGCAAGACCCAGAGCAGCTGCGGGTATTACCCCCTGAAATGTTATCTTGGAGTAAGTCCCTAGTGGTTTTCTAAATGTCTCCCTGTCCTGTTCAGGAAGACATTTGTTTTTAAGCCCAACCAGAAATTGTGTGGATGCACTTTTCAACACAAATCTGACCCAAGGGGGAAAAAATGCAGTTACTATTTATGCAACTGTATAACTCGGTGACAGACAGACATGTGTGCCCTCAGATCACCTATGAACTGTGATGGCCCCGAGGAAATAGAACTTGGATGGTTGGAGAACCAGAGTGAAAGGGAAATTTACATCACTCTGCTATGATTTTTTATTATGCAACATGGGTATAAATTACCTGTCCCCAGAATCAATTTTTGCATGTGTGCTACAGGGGATTAAGCCCAGGGCCCTGGGGTGCTCTACCACTGAGCTACATCCACAACCCTTCTTATGTTTTATTTGGAGACAGGTCTAAGTTGCCCAGGCTGGCCTTGAACTTTTGATCCTCCTGCCTCAGCCTTCCAAGTAGCTGGGCTTACACTGCCTGGCTAATTTATTTTTAAATAATTCATTTTTAAATGGATCTGAACGTCATGACCATCCCTTCTCCTTTCATTCTAAATCCACTTAAAGAGGAAAAGAACCAAAATCTAAGCTCTAAAGAGGGTCTCATGAACTCCTGGAACCCGGGCTGCCACCTGAACACAGAGAGCAGGGAAAAGACCCCCAGATTCTCCGTGCAGTTAGAGAAAAGAAAGAGCAGAGCGTTGGGGCTTAGAGATCTGGGTTTGGTTCCTGTCACTGTGACTGACAACTACATGACACTTGGCTCTGGGAGCCCAAGCTCCACTTCCAGATTAGAATAATGGCCACACCTCGTCTCATGGTTGTGTGAAGAATAAACTAACTCTAAAATATCATCCAGGCCGGGCGTGGCAACGCACGCCTGTAATCCCGGCAGCTCAGGAGGCTGAGGCAGGAGGATGGCAAGTTCAAAGCCAGCCTCAGCTAAAGTGAGACCCTAAGCACCTCAGTGAGACTCTGTCTCTAAATAAAATACCAAATAGGGCTGGGGGTGGGGCTCAGTGGTTCAGTGCCCCTGAGTTCAATCCCTGGTCCCCCCCAAAGAACACAAAATAGCATCCAGATGTTCACAGTAGGTGCAATTTGTCACGCAGAGGTTGTTCAGTCCTTGGACCTCCATCCCGACAAACGTCATGCCCAGGGCTTCCCTGGTACCCAGCAAAATCATCTGTGCCTCAAAGATCAACCAGACTCTCTTTTTTATCCACAGCAAACATCTTGACGGTGATCATCCTCTCGCAGCTAGTGGCCAGGCGGCAGAAGTCCTCCTACAACTATCTCTTGGCGCTGGCCGCGGCCGACATCCTGGTCCTCTTCTTCATCGTGTTTGTCGACTTCCTGTTGGAAGACTTCATCCTGCACATGCAGATGCCTCAGGTCCCCGACAAGATCATCGAAGTCCTGGAGTTCACCTCCATCCACACCTCCATCTGGATCACGGTTCCCTTGACCATCGACAGGTACATCGCCGTCTGCCACCCGCTCAAATACCACACCGTCTCCTACCCGGCCCGCACCCGGAAGGTCATTGTCAGCGTTTATGTCACCTGCTTCCTGACCAGCATCCCCTACTACTGGTGGCCCAACATCTGGACCGAGGACTACATCAGCACCTCCGTGCACCACGTCCTGGTGTGGGTACACTGCTTCACCGTGTACCTGGTGCCCTGCTCCATCTTCTTCATCTTGAACTCCATCATCGTGTACAAGCTCAGGAGGAAGAGTAACTTTCGCCTCCGTGGCTACTCCACTGGGAAGACCACCGCCATCTTGTTCACCATCACCTCCATCTTCGCCACGCTCTGGGCACCCCGCATCATCGTGATCCTCTACCACCTCTACGGGACGCCCATCCAGAACCTCTGGCTGGTGCACATCATGTCCGACGTGGCCAACATGCTGGCCCTCCTGAACACGGCCATCAACTTCTTCCTTTACTGCTTCATCAGCAAGCGGTTCCGAACCATGGCGGCCGCCACGCTCAAGGCCTTCTTCAAGTGCCAGAAGCAGCCTGTGCAGTTCTACACCAACCATAACTTTTCCATAACAAGTAGTCCCTGGATCTCGCCGGCCAACTCCCACTGTATCAAGATGCTGGTATACCAGTACGACAAAAACGGAAAACCTATAAAAGTCTCCCCTTGACACCCCCCTGGGTTGGCACAGAGTGCCTCTGTGTGATCCATTCCCCATGGGAGGGCATCCCATCCTCTGGCTGAACAGGTCTCCTTAAGAGTGCTAACCTGATTTCCTGTCTCCATAGACTGAGGAACTCTCAGGGTGGCAGATGAGAGAGAGACGGAAGAGAAGAAGAAAGGAAAGCATGAATCTCGTTTTTCTGTGTGCACTCATTTCCACAAAAATAAAATCACGTCGACAGCAAAAGTTCCTACCCGTTTGGAGATGCTGTTGGAAGTTGTGCCATCATCCTGTGACCAGTGAGGACCACAGTAGAGAAATAGTCTGTGATTTAGCACAGGGACCATCCACCATCACTGGGAACCACTCATTTGTGTGACACCCCGAGCCATGGTAGCACGTGGCCACGTCTAAGCTCTCCTTCCGAGAGCGGAGGTCATCCATCGCTCCCCTGGGCCATGCCCAGAAGGCTACCCATGCTGACTGATTTGAGAGTTTTTTCCAAGGTGCCCTTTGTCCTAGAGAGGGTTGTGGTCTTGAAGAAGCCCTGGCACCCCGGCTGCAGATGATACCATGGGGGACAGGGGAACATTGAATCCCTTCCGAACTTTGTCCAGAGCCCCCCGCGGGGAGGCTCCAAACCAATGTAACTATGCCCCTTAGACCTGGGGTCTAAGGTTCAGTTTTCTATCTGCCATAATGTATAGGTTTTATCTGTTTCCTCCAAAACGAAGACCCTGCCTGGTGTGTGGGGAGGAAGGAGGAAATTCTTGAGCCCAGAAATACAAAAAAAATGAGCCCACTCTTGCCATTGTTCCAATCCATCCCTATGTCGGCTGTGAATGGTCCCTTTACTCCCAATCGCTTCTTGTTGTGGTGCCACATGGCTCCCTAGAGGGGCCTCCGCTTGTAGAGTCACCAGCCCTGCCCGCTTGCTCGCTGAACCCCTCACCAGGTTGTTTGATTTGATGAAGTTCCTAACTGAATGTAATATTCCAGGGTCAGGAACGGTAGCTCCCCAGGTACGAAAGGAGCCATCCTCAGGTCCCATCCCCAGGCCACCGTGGCAGACACAGTTGATGTGGACAGGTGCTGGCACTAGCTGCTTGTCTGTCCTTTAAAAACATGTGGCTCAAAAGGGTGACACCTGTTCTCAGTAAAGCCATTTAATCCAGATTCTTTGCAAAATGATGCAGTATGGATTTATTTCTTTACTCTCCCCTTGCCTGTCCAAGGCAAGAACACTTCTAGAATGCAACCAACAGAAGCTTCTCTGAGAAGGATCACTGTGTGCACACACTTACTCGTGCGCACGTATATATACTTGATTCCACTAGACCCCTCTGTGCCCTGGGATGTGTTTTAGGAGGGAAATCTGAGCTGAAGTTCCTCTCATTTTGCATTTTTTAAACCTTCTCTCACAGATCTCCAGTATTTGAGTTCACCCCTATTCTGGGAGAAATCTTCCAAAATGGTTTGGGAATCACATGATATTTTTGGTGACCAAACAAAAAGCAGTGAGTCCATCTGGAACACTAGGATCTTTAGGCTGGATTTTTACTGCATGTTGTCCCTAAATTGGAAGACCGTCTCTTTTTAAGGGAGTCTGCAAAAAAAAATGAGTGGTGTAGAGAGGCCCCAAACTTCAGCCAAGGCCCTCAAAACTAACTAAATATAATTTGGGGTCCTATCGGTCCCTAATGATTCTATCTCCCGCTTGTTTTAAGTCATAGCAGTGGAGTCTCACCAGGCCCTGGGGATAGACTCTAAGGACAAAAACCCAGAACACCCAGTTACCTGGGCGAAGTCCTTGGGAAAGAGCCACATTGGAGACCATACGCCATCCCTTTCCAAACCTAAGACAGCTAAGTTCTTCTCCAGCATGGGAACAGGTTGCTGGTTCTTTGGTTGAAGACAAAACAGAGTTGGCTCGTGTTTAGGTCCCCTGTTGTTTGGTTCCAATGTGTCTGAGAACTTTAGGACCCTCTGGTGCGGCAAGACAGTCCCACTCATAGAGGTTTCAAGAAGACAAGCAGACTCCTCTCTCCCTTCTCACTCGCTCCCCGAGGCACATCTCCTGGAATGGAGAGGGGGTGAGCAGAGCCCCCCATGTCCCTCCAGCTGCATTTCTTTGCCAAGCATGTGTAGTTGAATACATGTTCATTAAATGTGCATACGATGCAGCTCCACCGCACCCCCTTATGAATGAACATTGACCAAAGGCTACCTATATTGAATATATATACATAGATATAAATATTTATTTATTTATTTATTTATTTTTAAAACATAAAGCTCTAAAAATATGCCAGTTTGAGCTACATGTGAATGAGTCAAAGTGCAATATCTACAAAGATGGAACGATTCCTTTCCGAGGACGTATGTAAGATGGGAAATACATCTGTGAATCTCCATGCTCTCTGGTCCGTGTTTTTAATTGTACCTAAAAATTGATCGTGGATGTTTTAAAAACCGGGTGTGCGTTGAGAAGGCTTTCCTCAGACACTTATTTATGAGCTGTCTCGACAGTGGTGGTTCTGCCTAGTGGTTCTGGGATCTCTTCTTTTGGACGAGATTTTTCTATTTTGCTAAGTAATGTTTTCAAAGACCTGATTCTCAAACGCACGCCGGTGAGTGGCTGTCTCCTGCTTAACAGGCCCAACGGGTTAGGTTGATGCAGAACTCCTAGAATGTATTTCAGATCCTCGAAGGGCTTTTCATTTATTATGATTTCTAGGAATCATTATGGACAGTAATGAAAATGATTTTTTTTTTTACTTTGAAAGTATGGAAGCCTTTTCTTTCATGCCGTTTTGGAAACGAAGCCTTGAGTCTTGAGGCTGTCAGGTAAACAGCTGTGGCTGGAGGCCCTGGAGCAGTCGCCTTGGCCTGGGATTCTGTGGTGCCTCTTTCAAAGACTGTTGCTCGCATCTCCCCAGCTGAATGACCTGGGTCCTCGGTTGGACGCTGCTATGAGGCTGCACACGTCCGTGCTGTGTCTTTTTTAGTGAATGATTCAAAGACAGAAATGTCTCCTGGGAAAGGAAATGAGGGTGACGACCGACAAATCATAAAAGACAGACCATGGGAAGGCATGAACTTTTACTCTGCAAATTCCCTGCGGTCGGGAAAGACGGTTTTGCACAGTTGGTGCCTATCAGTCCAACCCAGGGAGACTCTCCGAAGCAAGTAAGAGACTCTAATGTTGGCTCTTCCAGCTCAAAGAATGGAACAGAAGGTTTGCCATAGAAAAATAGTAAATGTTCATATTTTCTTAATTAGATAATATATTGTGTTTGGACTTGTTTGTATTATACTAAATTCTAATATGGTGCGCGCACTTGGTATTTGGCATTTGCATACATGTTTGAGCAACTGCAGAATGTTGATTTTTATTACTATGATTTTTAATTGACAAATCATAATTGTATACATATATGGGGTACGATGTGACGTTTTGATATATGTATTCAATGTGGAATGATTAAATTGAGCTAATTAACATATCCATCACTTACTTGCATAGCATTTTTGAGTGTGTGTGGTGAGACATTTGAAATCTACTGTCAGTTATTTTGAAGTATCCAATACGTCATTAAGGACCGTGATCCCCCTGCGGTGCTGTAGGTCGCGAAACATATTCCTCTTATCTAACTGAAACCTTCCCTGGGCCCTTGCTCCCAACTCCCCCAGCCTCTGAGAGCCACCATCCTGCCCTCTACTTCTATGAATTTGGCTATTTTAGACTCTACACATACATGAGATCATGGGATATCTGCCTTTCTGTCCGGGGCTTATCTCACTTACTATACTGTCCTCCTAGTTGCAGGATGCTGATTCGAACTTAATGTCCTTACTTGGACATTGTCCTGGGTGCTAGGATAAAGCCAGAGTCCTGCCAGCCTCCTGGTTAGTCAGATGTATCTCAGAATCCAAAACCACTGAGCTCTGCTTCCTGTAATCCTGAATTAGGCTGCTCATCGAGGATGAATCTAAATTCTCTCTGATCACATCCTGTCTGTGAGACAGTGATGGCTGCCATCGTGACCGGAAACCTAGCATAATGACTGAGACCTTGGACTTTGGTGGCAGACAGTCATGGGTTCACGTCCGAGCTCCACCATTACTAGACAGATAGCCTTGAACCAGTCCTTGAAAATCTCTAATCCAGCATCTAGAAAACGGTGCCCAATTGTTTTCTCAGTTGCCTGCAAGGCAGATAGATGCTCTCTTTGTCAGACACCCAAGATGTGGAGTCAGTTATTACAGGCTGCGCTTTGCAGGCTTTGTGACCTTGGGCAACATTCTCAATCTCTCTTGAGTCTTCATTTCCTCTCCATAAAATGGGGCTAATCATAATTCCAGTAAGTACCTCCTGGGGTGCTTCTTAGTAGCAGAACTTTCAAAAGCCTCCGACTGTACATCATTTCACGGGTGAAGATGCTAGGCTCAGAGGTGAAAGAGGTTTTGTCCAAACTGGCTCCCAGATCACTCAACCCTCCCCTTTCCAACCTACCTCATTGACTTCTCTGCAGAATTCTGAGTCATCCTCCAAAAGATCACATTATTTTTACGCCCTTTATGGAGTTGGGGATTTTGCAACTCTTCAAACCTAGGTCATCCAAGCATGAGATATATTTTAACAGCGTCATAATTAAAACACTCGGCTTGACCTTTCCCTGTAAGGTAGAGCTTTTTTTTTTTTTTTAATTGATTCTATCAGCTCTCAAAATCGCTATGCATTTTCCCACACAAGCCACCATCAATTCTGACAGCCACCCACCAACTGTTGTCACATTCCATCTTTGCATCAACTCAGAGAACGAAAGTGACTTATAAGTTGGGGAGAAGTACGGAAAAGCAAAGAGCCTGCTGGGAGGGTCCCCACTAAGAGCTGCCGAGCGTGCGTGCCCACGGGGTCCTCATGAGCACTCACGGCCTCAGGGAGAAGACGAGTGAGTTGATGGAGGTTGAACTGCTAAGTAATGATCCTCTTATTAATGCACGTGGCTAAACAGAATGGTCCAGCCTCTTTGGAGTGTGTGCAATTAATCCAAGGACCTGCCAGACACAGCCGGGCAGGTGGGGGGCAAGGCTCACATCCACTGGGAGGAAAAGATACTGTGAATTTCCTGGGTTTATTGGGAGAATGTGTCATTGTCATGCCAAGAAAAAAAAAAGAAGAAGAAGAAGAAGAAAATAAAAAGCTTTCTAGTGAAAAAGAAGCAAACAGGGCTACAGGGAAGAGGGTACGTCCCCATCAGCTAGCTCTCTGCCTGTGGGCTCACCATGCCTGGGGAGCTTTGGTACCAGTAACAAAATATGTCCCTCCACTGGAGACAGGGCTTTAACTGCAGTTAAAGGCTCTGGATTAAAGCCAGAGAAGAAATATTCATAAGGACATCTGTTAACTCCACACCTCCAGGGGCAGCCCCTACAGGTCGCGTCCCTAGAGCTATTTCAGAACGGATTCTGTATCAGAGACTTCGCAGAAACCAAAGCAGGTGCTTTCAACGAGAAGACTTTAACCAAAAGACTGTTGGCCATAGCCTGAGCAGGAGGAAGAGACCCACGAGAGCTGTTTGGAACACCGGGGACCTAGAAACAACGGGAAACCTCACTTCCCTTGGACTTATGGGGCCACCCAAGGGAAGAGTGTCACCGGAGCTCAGTGAGGAGCGGAAATCTTGGAAGAAGGGCCTTCCAGCAAGGCAGTTCCATACCGTGGTCAGAAATGTGAGGCTGAGGGCAGGAGGGTCACAAGTTCAAGGCCAGCCGTAGCAACACTGTGAGGCCCTAAACAACTCAGAGAGACCCTGTCTCAAAAATGAGAAAATAAATAAAAAGGGATAAGGATGTGGCTCAGGGGGAAAGTGCCTCTGGGGTCAGTCCCCAGTATCCACAAAGAAACGATGCTGGAGAGGGAGGTGTAGGGACGCCCCAACCTCTCCTTTCCTTCCCCCTGATACACCTGGTGCCCCCAACGCCCAAGTTCAAACAGAACCAGCAGGAGAGAGTCCATGGGAAGCAGGCCAGTGGCCAGACCTCACAGCACAAAACAGCGAGGAGCAGGCCCGGGGAGAAATGAGACAGGGCACAACTTAGAAGAGCCAGCAAAGGTCGGATTTTTATTTTACTACCACTGAGTCCTTAGAGAGCCAGAGAGGCTCTCAGAAATTATTTCACTCAAAGATTAAAAAAGAGCCAGGCACAGTGGCACACGCCTGTCATCCCAGCAGTTCGGGAGGCTGAGGCAGGAGGATCATGAGTTCAAAGCCAGCCTCAGCAAAGGTGAGGCCCTAAGCAACTCAGGGAGACCCTGTCTCTAAATAAAATACAAAATAGGGCTGGGGATGGGTCTCAGTGGTTGAGTGCCCCTGGGTTCAAGCCCCAGTACCAAAAAAAAAAGATTAAAAAAAGAAAAGAACACTGATATCCAAAAGACCCCCTTGTCCAAGGTCACACAACCTAAACTCTTTCCAGTGATCTTCCTGCACATTCCCCCGAAACACAGAATAGATCATGCACCCCCAAGAGCTCGCCTTAAACCTTCACAGTTAGAAATTTCTCCCATTAATCCTTAGCATCTCCCGTGAGCAGACTGTCAACCTGCACGGGTTTCGGGATGGAGACAAAGAGGGTCTGGAGACGCAGGCACTCGCTGAACAACCAACGCCTACAGTCATCTATTTACTTGACTGATATTTATTAAAATATACTATGTGTTGAGAGCTATTCTAGGCATCGTAATTATTTAGCAAAGACAGATGAGGCCTCTGCCCTTGTGGCTGTTACTGCTCGTGGGAGGACGATACACGAGGGAACAAGGTAACTTCAGGAAAAGATAAGTGCTGGAAGGAAATAACCGGGAAGCACCCAGGGTCAGGCAGATGGACATCAGATAAACCAGTCAAAGGGAGAAGGTGACAATAGAGAGGGCCGGGCTGGGGCTCAGGGGCAGGGCGCTCGCCCAGCATGTGGGAGGCACTGGGTTCCATCCTCAGCGCCACGTAAAAATATATAAATGAAAGAACTGGAATCAGAGAGAGAGAGAGAGAGAGAACATTCCAGATAAGGGGACCAGAAGGTACCAAAGCCCTGAGCTGGGAATAACCTCAAGTGCCCACGGAACAAAGGGCATCCTTGGCACTGTGGTGTGATCCGGGAGAATACGTGGAACAAGGCCAGGGAGAGGGGACAGGAGTCACCTCATGGTCAGCTTTGTGGGCCCTGGTGAAGAATCTGGAGGAAAGACACTGGACATCCCTCAAAGGGGAGCGCTGTGACCGCCACTGCCCAGGTGGGAAAAGTCAGCCTCACAGGGATCAACTCAAATGCTCCCCCACATCACGGGGAATAATTTATGAGCTGGTATTTAGGCCCAGGCCTGTCCTATTCCAAGAGCCACTTTGGCGGGACACCGTGGCAGGCCTGGGCTGACCCCCATCCTCTCCTTCCTCCAGGAGCAGCCTTGATCCCATTAGCATTTCCATCATCCCGGGTTGGTATTTAGGCGAACGTCGTCTTCTAATTCCACTAATGAGGAGTCAGAAGTCATCAGGGCCTAATGCTTCATGGTTTTATTTCATGACCCAATTTTGTGTGTGATGAAATCCGGCAGAATACCCGTCCCACCAGGTTGTGGATGAAATAATAAAGACTCTGCTGGTGGGGAAGACATAAAAGGGCAGATACTTCTTAAAATCTCTCCTGCACAACCCACCGTGATACTGTCAATGTCACCATTATTCAAACACTTTCATGCAAAGGTTTTAACTCGTGGTCTTCCTCCAGCCTAGGCACCGCCCTTTAAAACAGCTGCTGTCTCTGCTCCTGCCCTAGATCCTGAACCCATTTGGCCATGTCTTGTACTTGATAGAGAGTGACAACTTATTTAAGAATATTTTATATATATAAAGATACAGATTTGCACTATCCCTTCTGTCCCCATATTAAAAAATGGACCTGGTGCTGCTTTATTTACCTTATGGAAACATGCAGGGTGGGATTTCTTGAAGAGTCAAGCTCCACCAGGGCCTTGCTCCTCAGAACACAATCCACCTGGCAGCGGCATTACATGGAAGCTGGTGAGAAATGTGGAGTCCCAACCCCATGATGAACCAGAATCTGCATTTCTTAATTTTTTAGTGATTTTTTGGTGTATTATGATTATATATTATACTGGGGCTTGTTACATATTTATTTGTACATGCACATAAGTTGATCAATTTCATTCCCCAGTACGTCCTTTCCATGAATTTACACAATGCCTCCCTCCAGAGACACAGACAGACAGACAGACACACACACACACACACACACACACACTTTTTCTCTCCATCTTCCACATTTGAGAGAAAACGTATGACCCTTGACTTTCTGAGTTGGCTTATTCTGCTAAACTCGACACTCTTAAATACCATGCATTTTCCTTCAAATGACCTTTTT